TAAAAAAAAAAAAAAAAAAAAGCCCTGCACTCACCAGCAGTAGCAGTGGCTATAGGGGTCACTGGGGTCTGGCAGAGCCCCTCTGCACAGCATGGGGCAGCAGGCAGTAGTGGGGACCTGTCCCAGCTGCCTGGCACCCTCACTGCCAATGCCCCATTGCACAGGTGTGACTGGGGTTGTCAGGGCACTGTGGAGCTCCGTGCACTGTCAGGCAGCTGGGGCTGCTGCAGCTGTCACCCAGAGCTCAGCACCACTCAGCCTGTGTGTCCCCAGCTGCCTGACAGCGCATGGAGCCATGTGTTGCCCTGCCAACCTCAGCCACACCTGCACAATGGGGCAGTGGCAGTGTGGGTGCTAGGTTGCCAGAGCCAGTCCCCACTGCCCACGGCTGCCCTGTGCTGTGCAGGGCGGGGTTGTGCCAGAAGGGCCCCGTGACCCTGTAGGCAGCTGCTACTGCTAGTGAGTGTGGGACTGGGTGGGGCAGCAATCAGGTGGGTTTGGGAGGGGGCTGGTGGGGCATGGGGCCAGGCAGGGCAGCAACCCAGGGGCTCAGGGAGCGGGCAGGGAATGGGGCTGGCAGGGGGCCCCCACGGTCCCCTAGCCCCTCCTCCAGCCCCCTCCACTCCCAGCTTACCTGCATGGAGCCCAGGTCCAGCTCCTTGTGGCTGACATGCTGCCTGCCCTGCATGGTATTTTTTGACTAATATTGCCCCCGTGCTGCAAATTTGCAGTGTGTGGAATGTGGTTTTGTTCCCACACATGCTTCTTGTTCCCACACATGCTGTAAAGGGCACGTGCGCGCTCATCTGGACTTACCTCAAGGGTTTAAAAATGGCTGCTAGGGCACTTTATCTAAACCTCATTGAATGAGGTTTAGATAAAGCATCCTGCAGCCATTTTTAAACCCATGGGGGCTTAATACACATGATAGTGAGGTGTTTTAATTAGAGTGGCTCTCCAAGAACCAGTTTAATTAAAACACCTCCCACCCCTCAGTACATGTATTAGCAGCCTTTATTTTTTACTTTACACTTAAAAGAGTTTTTTTTTAATGGGATGTGGGCTAATAGGAGTGAAAAAGCTATTAAATAGAATCTTTGTAATCACTCCTTTTTCTGTTTTAAATTATAAAATTGATTTTGGAAAATAATAATTTATTTTTCCAGGCAATGGTGACTGTGACTGTGGTGAATGTAGATGCCACAGTGGATGGACTGGTGAATACTGTAACTGCACAACTAACACTGACTCCTGTGTTTCTGAGGATGGTATTCTGTGCAGTGGAAGAGGTGAATGTAGTTGTGGAACATGTGTTTGCACACATCCTGGGGCCTCTGGTAACACATGTGACAAGTGTCCTATGTGTGGTGACCTTTGCAGTTCCAAACGGTAATGTACTGGTTTTACCATGTTTGTGTTTTTTACTTTGTTCAGAAATCCCAGGAGTGCTCTTCCCACTGTTATTGGGTCCCAATACAAAAACCTGATGTCTTTTCTGCTTCTCCCATGTGGTTTAATCATAATGTAGAAAAATTAAATGTTTCTTAGCTCCTGGAGATTTCACACTGTGTCTTAGAGAAAATACCCGAGGCTCAGCTGTCAGGATACAATGTCACAATTTCACTTCTGCTTCTGTTTTTAAAAAAAGCTGAGTAGTACTCTGAAATGATGTCGAATCCCACTGAGTTCATGGAACAGAATGACAGAATAACATTTGCAACTTGTGTTAATTCACTTCTGTCCATGAACCCTTAGAGCCAACTTCTACTCTGAGATCCTACTCCAGAGTCACAGATGTGCAGTAATTAATATTCCAAATTCTGCTAAATGCACTTTGACTGAAACAGGTGCATCTTCAGTGGAAGTATTCCAGCCAGTTCAGTGGGGACATAAACAGTGGTGTAATCTATGCCTCAAACATAAGTTGATCATGAACTGAATGCAGTAAAGCAGTGTAACATTCTGTGAGCATGTAAAAAACACCTAGCCTGCATATTAAGGTAGCAGACAAAGGTACATCATGGAAAGCAACTAAAATGAATGTAAAGTGAATCATGGTCTCCAAACAAGGGTTATCAAAGATACAGCCCATGGGACAGTTCTGGCCCATGGATCTCAGACCAACCCTGCATGCCACATGCAGCAAGCACCGGCCCCAGCCCTGTGCATTACATGCAGCATTCAGGGCTGGACCTGGTGCCACAGGCACTGCACACAACACAGAAGGCCAGTTCAGGATGTGTGTCAAATGCAGAGCCTGCACTGGACTGGCCGTGTTCACTGGCTGTGGCTGGTCTGGATTGGCCCCACAGACAACCCCTGAATGCTGGAGCAAACATGCAAGGCAGGGCTGGCACAGATGCCACATGCAGCATGCTCCCCATGCTGGCCCCACCTAGAGTGCATGCCCTGAACCAGGGCTGGCATGTGCTACAAGCACAGGGCTGAACTGAGTGTGTGCATTGCAAAGCAGCACAGGGGGCTGTGTGTGATGCCCTGCTGGACATTGCTGTGTGCAGTGCTCTTGCACACTGGTTACAGAGTTGGTCTGGATTGGACTCACAGACCAGCCTCATGCACCAGAGCCAGTCCAGCATGGACACCTCGTATAGCATGCTGCATGCCAGCTCTACACACAAGCCCTGGACCAGGGCCAACATGCACTGCAGGCAACAAAGCAGGGCTGCTCTGGGGTGTGTGCTGCATGACATGCCCACACTAGACCAGACTTTTGCTCTGATTCCAGTGCCTGGGGCTGGTCTGCGAGCCTGATCTAGCACACAGATCAGCCCCATGCGCCTGAGCATACACATTCTTGTCTGTACTATCTCAAAGCCTTTCAGGGCTAAATTCAGCTGTGATGAAAATAGGTAAAACTACATGCATAGGCCAGAAATTGAACTGGTCCACAGAATGCTGAGTTACATTCATGTTGCACATTCCCTGAGTGCTCCGTGAAAGCAAGTTAAAGATCTAATTACTCTTCCACCTATATTGGTTTCCATTGACTGAGGCCAGCTTCTCTTCCATTCTGCTTTGAAAGTCCATTGCCCTATTCTCAATTTGCGCCACAATTACTGAGAGGAAAATTTGGTCCACATTATGTAACTTCTCCCACCACCATTTATGTCACTGCTAAATTTGCCCTGTGGAGCTGCATAGCAATTGAATCAAATCCAAGCAGATTAATGTATCTTGCACAGTCTTCAGTATTGGGAGCTTATATTAATTGAATAAACACAGCCCTTGAATATAAGTACATTATGCAGTGTATTATACTGCTGCTGTTGATACATTGACCAATTCAACAGACTAATATATTATTTAGGTATATGATGGACATTGAGTTAGTTTCTTCATTGTATAATATAATATTCCATATCACTCATTTGTCAGACATTTTCCTCTTTTCCCTTTCTCTGTCACTGTCACAGTAAATGAAACACATGGCTGGAAAAGCCAAGAGAGAGAGGTGGAGACTTGGTAAAACTTAGCTAGGGCAGCTGAAAGAGAGCCAAAAGACCAGGTCAGAGGTGACAGAGATCCGTGGGCAGGCATCTGAGAAAGAGGGTGGTACTTTGAGAAACATGGCAAATATGACAAGAACATCAACAATACTGAATGTACCTACATCTGATAGGGGCTATCCCATTACCCGCTCATTCACTCTATTCAGTGATTTACTTGAGAGAGATAAGGTCACCCCCATCTTGTGAAGATAACCTCAGAAGCCTCAGCATTATTCTCTTAGAGGGATGTAATTCAATGCAAATCGGTAATGGCCAGTTTCTTTTTATTTTATTGTCAGTCTGACAAGACTGTTCTTCTCAGAGTCTTAGCTCCTAAATGAGTTGATGCTTTAAACCCAGAATTGTTTAAATATAGCCGGTGGTAACAATTTTCATGTGCAAACTGTATGTTCTTTTCTCTTTTCAGTAGGAGACTCTGGACCTGCTCCAACTCCCATTGAATCAGAGTGGCTTTTCATCAACTTCAGAAGGAGTTGGACCAGACCCTCAGTTTATTTTTAAATAAGATTCTGGTCTTTCTACAATTAAATAAAGTCAATAATATATTTTGAAGTTGCTTTTCCAATAAGTTGCTTTTGCTTAATTAGTGTTTATATTATTAGCTCCTGAGAGTAGTGAATCATATTCTAGAGACATCTATTAAGATACCTGAGCAAGGTTTTTAGTCTCTTGGTAAATATAATACATTATTCAACAGATTTTCAACAAAGAAAGATTTATATTAAGTGCCTTGGCCTCCTCTGAATTAAGGCAATATCAAATATTAGTCCATTTAGTAGGTATTCTTCTGAATGGTATTTAGTGTATACTTCATTCAGAAACTTTATCTTGGAAAATGAACATTATGTATGAGTAACCCCATGTTTTGAGCTGACACACATGAATAATGCTGCCTCAGGTTCTGTCTGGTAGCTAACAAGAGCTTAGAGAAAGAGGCCTTAATTCAGGGTTGTTTTGTGGCAATACCTATCACATTTCTGAGAACTACTGTATCTATAGCACAGGACCTTTTGTTAATTCCTTTTTAAAATGTCGACAGCAGGCATATTCTCTTTTATATGCAAGTGCTTTGTGGCAGACAGAGATTGATGAGTACTTGAATTATTTTTCAAAGGATCTGCGTTGAATGTTATTTGGCTTCTGATGAACAGTTACAAGGAGAATGTAGTGAAAAATGTAAATTGGTTGATGCAACTGTCAGTACTGCAGAAGGTTTGTACACTTATTATATTTTACTTATTAGTGGCAATCCTAATTGTGATAATTTTATGTAAAAATACACATGGGATTTGAAAACAGTTGCAATTTTTCCCTCTGATGGGTGGTAATCATTGGGCTTGACCCAATGAATGACAATCCACATTGAGAGTATCAAATCCTCTTCTGTTTTGTAATTAGGGACCAAAAAACATCTTTGTCAATATCAATCAGAACAATTATATCCCTCCAGCTTAACTAACCCATTAGTATACAACTAGTTTCCTAACCAGTTCACTAAGTTCTGGCCTTCTGTACACAAATACTACCCCAATGACAGCAATATCCTGACTCAAACATCTAAGTGTAAAATCATGCCCATTCTGTGAAGCTCAGTATAGTTTCTATTATCTTACAAAAAGATTAACCATTGAGAACTCTGATGATTGCAATGGGAAGTTCAACAGACAAATTGCATTAGTGCATTAGTGCACAGTTCAGATGTTTTTCTTCTTGCTGCATTTGAATAGGGTTCTTCCCTCCACTGTCAATATAGGGACCCCACTGAAGTCAAGAGGAACTCCTAGTATTGACTTGAATAAAATATTACCCTTGTAGACAAAGAATTGTAACTTTAAACAGGACTGTTGTGTCAATAGGATTATCTTTTTCCTTATAGGATCACCATATAAGAGCAGATGGGCATCTTTTCTCATTGCTGTACTTTGGAAAGTATGTAATTACTCTATTTCCAATGGCAACAAATCCAGTACTCAGATGTATTGTAACTCTGAGGCCAGGCAACATGACCTGTACTGTACATACATCATAGACATGACTTCAGCTTCTGATCAAGCAAATATAATAATTTGAGCAACAATTCAGAATGCTGTGTCCACATCTTGGTATTGAACTAATCTGCTGGCCACTTGCCCACAACTTCACAGATGGAAGCAATGCAGTGACATTTACAGCCTTTCTGACATCAGCCTGAGCACAATGGTGGTAGTTGTTACAAATATGAAGTGCAAAAATTCTAAGTATTTCTCTTGTGGGGGAAAAGATTTTAGTCCACAACTTAATAATTAATTTAAATTATTGATTATTTTAACTTCATAAAGTTGAAGGACTTTCATAAAAAGTAATTATTGTTTGAAGGCTAGGAAAAATTCTTTGCCTGGTACTGCTACTAATAAAGACAAAAAGTTTCTCGTGTTTATGCTAAAGCACAAGAAGTATATTTTTGTAGCAAACGTCTCAAAACTGAACAGACAAATGAGTAACAGCCTTGTTTGAATATTTATTTAAAAGCATGTGGGTAGAATGAACATTTTCGAAATGTATACTTTACAACCCCTTTTTTCCACTGTGTTGTTAGTACCATTTTTCAGAATGTTGTCAGTGGATTGCAGATCTGTGTAACCATGGATGCATAAGAGTACTGTGCTTTGTGACATTATAAATAGTAATGAGATCTGGGAACTGCCCATTGCCTAATCTACTTCCATACATAGTATACACAAGAGAGAGATAATGCCTTATCTTGATTCTGTACCTATGTTTTTATTCAAGTCCTAACTTTCTTCAGCAATTTTAGCTTTAGATTTTGTTCCTATCAATAACAACTGTTGCAGTGAAACCTGCATGCTAGTTACATTCTAATATCACAAAAAAGTTGCTTAAAAGTATATTTGACCATAGGCACCAACTTTTATTTTTCCCTGGGGGGACAGGGCTAAGATGATGGACATGTGGAAAGTTTTACACATTTCAGGTGACAGTCCTCTTCCTGAAAGAAACCAGACCTCCCATGTACTTGACATCTCTATATTTCACCTACTTTATACCTGATCCAAGGTATCTGAAGGTGGTGGGTCTTTTTTTTTAAATTTTTGGCATACAAATAGCCCTCAATAAAAGTGCCTATACTTGGCATTGATTAGAAATTATGCTTTAAAATAAAAGATGATCTAAAAACAAAAACAAAAAAAACCCAACCCTGTAATGGAATTGCTCAAATGGTGTATTAGCTGCCCGGTTTGAGTGTGTAACTTTGTAACTGTTACCTTTCTTTTGTTGTGTTTATTTTTTCCTGGACTTAAATCACAAGATATTTTGGGAGATCTCCTAGGTATGTTTTCATAGTGCATAGAAACCTAGAGTCTAAATCTTGATTGAGCCATCAAGGTACTATTGCAACAAAAATGTATTAATTTTGTTTGAATCAAACAAGCAATCATCCTTCCAGAACTCTATATAGCCTATGCTTTGTATGTGAGTTTTTGTTAGGCTCTTGAAGGATCAGATCCAATTCCTATTAAAGTCAATGTCAAGTCCAAAGTGTACAGCTGAAGAAGACTGCATGGTCCATGCATAACATAGCAGTCTATAGACTGAGGCTAAGGTTCCAGTGAAATCCTGCCCTGGTCCCAATACATCTGATAAGCTGTAAAGAAGTTATGGAGGCTTGGTCACTTCATATAGTTCCTAAAATGGATCTTTATTCTCCTCTTAGGAGCCCTGCATCCCATTTGCTTTGTAAAGCAACTTTTTGGCATTTCCTGATTTTGAGTACTTAACTGTACAATCTGCATTAAAAAATGATTTTTTTTGCTGGAGTTTGCCTGCATTGTGTGCTTGACAATGCCCTCTGAAGAGTCAGTTTCACTTCTATGTTGGTCATCAGTTTCACTTCCCAGTTTCATGTTAGTGTTGCATTTAGAACTACTCTGCAGGAAGGTTGCTGCCTCTGTACTCTTGCCCCTACTCCAGTACTGTGTAAAGACAATGCAGCAACTGTGGAGGATACTGTTTATGTTACTGTTCTGCATGCATGAAGTGAAATTGCTTAATTTGTTTTAAGAAACCCATGCACCTATACACACACAAAGCATCACGCCCGCTGCATGCTCCTCACGCTTTGTGAAAGTTATAACAAAGCAATTTTTAAAGTCCCATACAGGGTATTTAGAAAACAGTGTACAAAACCTTGGAGCTTTTCAGAAAATGGTTTAATTTCACTTTAGTGTAAATAACAAAATATAAGTTGATGGTTCTCCCTTTAAAGTTGACATCTCCCATTGAATTTGTATTTAGCTGTGATGCCCATTCATGCATTGCAACAAAAAGCACAGGAACTAACATTACAGTCCTGTTATTTAAAATGAATTTGCATGCTGCTTTACCCAGTGTCATACAAAAATGCTTCAGAGGGAAGTGAACTGGAATCATTGTTTTTTGTTCTTGTCCTTCATATGTATTTGGTTTTTAGTTAACACTTTACCATTGCATAACTTACTGGTTCATTTGTTTGTTGTTGGAAGGAAAGAGGAAAGGATAAATGTATCTTGTTTTGTGTTATTACAGAAAAGACAGACAAGATGCGATAAATGTATAAATGTTGTGGCCTAAATATTTTTGGAACTTACATTGTATCCAAGAACCCACTAAGAGATCAGAGTTTTGTGTATTCTTAGGGCTTGATTAACTATCTAATTGGTGCATCTACACATGCTATTAGCACAGAGCAATAAACTACAGTGCATATTGTGCCAAAATTTATAGCTCCCGGGCACTGCATTTGAAAGTGCACCTGGGATCACAGCATGTTGAGCCAGGTTGGAGCAGCCCCAGCTGGTAGAGGGGCCTGGTGGGGCTACAGAGTTACTAACTGGGACATGATGGTGCTCTAGTGTGGGGCTAGCTGGCAGGCAGCCTCTGCACTGAAGCACCCTTTTGCCCCAGCCAGCCCCATCAGTGTCTACGTGTGCATTGCTGCACACTAAAGAACTCTGCCGTAGGATAATACTTGTATTTACAAGTACTAACCTGCTGCAGAGTTAGTTTCCTGTGGCCTAATAGGGCCACACATGTAGATATTGAGACTTTACTGTACAGCTAAATTAGGCAGTCTCATGTAGATGTGCCTAATGACTCCAGTTTTATTCTGATGTAATTCTTAACTCTGCTGTAATCAATAGAATTAGGCTGGTGTTCAGGTAAAACAACACCACCAACAACAAAGTGACACTTGTCTGTCTGCATGTTACTTGGATGGATAACACTGTATCTCATCACACAAAGGACAGGCCAAAAGGACAGAATCCAAAAGCTTCTTACAGTAAATTTCCTTACACATTTCTAAAGTAAATTTCATTTACTCTGCTGTGACATTCCTTTTCTAACAATCTAGGGGGCATTGACAGCCCATTCCAAGTACAACTGTGCTGTGTACTAGTGTCTGAGATACATAAATACCAAATAAATAGGCGGCAGAAGGGGGAAGGCAGCAGACGTAGCACAGGCATCGGAGGGACAAGGGGCAGGGTGTGGCATGCAAGTGCCAGAGTTGTAGGCTCTGGGGCAAGTGGAGGCGGGGAAAAGAAAGTAGGGAGGCATGCACAGGCAAGGGGCAGGGAGAGCAGACAAAAGAGCAAATGTGGGGGTAGGAGCAGAACCAGGGATCTGTCCTCTTGCCCCCTGCTGCTGCTTTGGGGAGACAAATTTAAAACTATCTTCCAATAATTAGATTCCATACATGGAAAAGTTTCACAAATTTGTAGTTTTCCATGTATAGAATCTAACTATTAGGAGGTCATCTTAAATTTGAAGTTGCCTTGGATTCAGGTAAAAATGATACATATAAAATGTATCCTTTAAAATTCAGTTGTTGTCCCCAGTTTATTGCTTATGCATGTATTTTCTTTAATTTGTTTTGATAGGCAGGTTTGAGAGGTTTGGGGCTTTTCAGTACAATTAATCCATGTGATGAACTCTTTAGCAGTCCCTGGTTCAGCAAATTCATGTGAGTTTCTGAGTATGGAGTGACCTTAAATGCCAATAACATTTCATTTGAAAAATTTCTGGCTTTCCTTGTTTTTCTAAAAACTAATAAAGCTTATTTAGTCTCTCTGAAATATATTAAAAGTAAAGCCAATTACAGCTATAGTATATATCTCTTTAACCTGTGGATTGTAACAGAAGGAATGACAGACCTTCACCTATAGAGGTAATTGTAGGGATTTCTATAAAGCAAAATATTTTCTTTATATAAAGCTATTATATCATGTTAGACTTAAAATCATGGCATTGGTATACAGTCTCATATTCCAATCAACTTGCTTCTTTTTATTGTCTGCCACAGCTGGGTTTTTTCTCCACTGCCTCTTGAATGAACTCAGCATGAAAGGTTCCCAGCTTGGGAAAAGTTTAAAAAAAATTGATTAAGTTTTCTTGCAGAAATACATTAAACGGAGGGACAAGTAAAAATGGGTAGACTGTCATCTTGGATTACTTTTTATCTTCTTTCCACTGAATCACATTACAGTGATCCCACAACTTTAGTTTTTTCTTATTAATTTATATTTACTGTTGTGACAATAAATGCCATGCTAAACTCTAAGGACAGCATTGTGGAAAGAATAAATGGCAGTCCTTTTAATGGTATCAGTATCTGTTTGATATGTGAATAACTACTCCTGAAATGTAATCTACACATGCTACCAGTAGCTCTAAATCAAAGAGAACATACTGTTTACTTTGTCTTATAATCAGGACTATTATATTCCCTAGACAGCTGAAGGTAAGTGTCTTGGAAGTATTTCCAGTTCACTGAAATTCACACTAAACCAGACTGATAGGTGCACTTGATGGTCAGTACAGATTGACAGCACCTGGACCTGCTCTTCTGAAATGTAATTGGAAAATCAGAAATGAAAAGAAAAGCAATTTAGAGTGGTATAAAAAGTTATTAATCTAGTGAAAATTTGCAAGGTACTTTTGCTCTTCCCTAACACTCTTCTGCATGTTAAAAACACCATGGCACAGATTAACCCATTGTGTTTTGTTGTTATTACATGTTGATGCACTTGATTTCCATAGAGTTCTCAAAGGATAAATCCATTCCCTGTGCTATACAAGGTGAAAATGAATGTGTTACTACATTTCTAATGACCATGGATGAACAGGGAAAGACAATCATTCATAGCATAAAGCAGAAAGGTGAGTGGTTAATATCAGTTTTCACATATACTGTTGGATTTAGAAATACAGATGAAACAATCAAAATTAGCAAATTAAGCTGTTTCATACACTTTTTTTTAATTTTCCTATTTCAGTAATGTTTTTCTTCATGGCTGAAAAAGCACCTCCTAAAATATTTATTTCATATGATGGCATTATAAAACATGACCTTTCACAAAAGACAGGCATTATTGTCCAGTGGTACAAGCAGATACTACTGAATTCGAAACACAGCTGTAGCTCTTTTTGCAGCATTAGGCAAGTTAGTCAGACTCTATTTCATTTTCATCAGCAGCTGAAAAAACTGGGATACTTAATTCCCTTCCACACCGGGGAGGGGGGGCGAGGGCAGAGGGGGGCTTTGAGGATCAGTTATTTTTCTTAATTGCTATTGGAATTGATAACCATTATGAAATAATGATACAAATGTCCTCATTACGTAATACACTAGCCCTGAGATATATTATATGACTACAAAATATTTTTAAAGATAAATAAATAATATCTGATCCATAACACAGTTATACGGAGTATTCATTGTGTGAGTTCGTGTCGATTATATAAGGACTGAATTAAGCACAGGCTTAGACCTGGATGTTCAATTTAAAAAACTTTATTGTTTCACAAAGTCATAAACTAAGGAGGTCTGTTGGTTCACGAGGTTCCCAAATCAAGCCCTTGCTTTCTAACCCGAAGGCTAGGTGCGGCTGCCTGATTCAGTAGTCTCAGAACTGGTCAACAGCTCATTTAAAAGGAGTCCCTTATCTT